AAAAAAAAAAAAAAAAAAAAAAACACGAGGTTTGAACGTGAAGCTGTCAGCGTCTTTTACGCTCTGCTTTTTTTTGATACATATTTTAAGCCAAAAAAATTAAAGGTTTATTTTTAAATTCATTTTTATAATAGGCTATTTATCGAACCATTCTGAAAATTGTTTTTCAGTAAGTGGAATACAGATGGTATATCAGTAAAAGTCGAGAAAATAATAAAATTATTCAAAATTAATAAAAAAGTTTTTATCATTTGCCTAACTTTGTCTACTAACAGAAAAATAATAAAAAATTTAAAAAAAATTTTTTTTACGATACCAATCTGGTTTTTTTAATTTCTCAGTTTTTGTTGGGTTGAAGAATTGAAGTAATGTTTATAATGATTTTAACTTGTCAAGCACAGTGAATTTTATTTTTTAAGACGTTTATTACAGTTGACCCTTTGTCGTTTCTTGATAAATTGAACTGGAAAAAAAAAAGACACAAAAATATTGTTAAATTATCCAAAAGCACAAATAACCAAAATTCCAGCAAGTTTATATGACTTTAGTACATCATTGCTTACTCACCAAGGTGGTGGCAGCTAGTAAAACAGAATATTTATAGATATTCATTCGACTGCACTACTGATGCAGCCTTTGAACAGCTGTAAAGTAAAAAAAAATTTTTTTTAGAAGTAATTAATCAAAAGAATTCTGCTTTTTAAAACTAGTTTCAGTTATTCACATTTATTTAAACTGGTGTCTTCTCTTATGTTTTTTACGCGCTTTTTTTCACTTTTGCTATAGAAGTGTCGAATATGAGTCAGGTTTGCTCCACAGAAGCCCAAATTTGTTATTGCTGCCAATAGTAAGAGAAGTAATTTACAGAAACTAGGACTCCTTCATTTTTGGTCTTTTAAGAACAAACAGTTTTGAGAAAATTTCGCTCTCGCTGCATCACATACAATTAAAATAGTAGTTACTTAATACTTTACTTTCGGGCTTTTTAACTGGTGCAAAGTGATTAACCCCAAAATACTGTATCGCTTTCAGTTTATCGCATTCTTAGAGAAAGCAAGCCTTAACACTTACCACTTTACAAACTTTGCAAGAAAGACGTCTATTTAATGTATTTCTACTATATTCAAGAAAAGAAGTTTTTTGTAATCTAGCTGAATATTCGCTAGCAAAAAATTATATCCCAGGCATTCATCATTAAAATTATAAAAGCGCTAAAGATACGCCGTTCGCACCACTCGTGTAACTCAAAAAGAAGACTGAAAACAAGTTGAAATTAATTTCAGTGTTTAACAGTCTTTAAAACTGAAGCAGCGTCGGAGCATTTCCTGCGAAATTCCTGAGAAGGCAAAAAGACAAATCTAGCTAATTTCTCCAGCAATCTTGAAAGCTTGACTTTGAGGACTTAAGCATTTAAGCATTGCATCCTAAACTTTTCTATCAAAATATACATTCTACATGTTTTGAACATCTCGAAATGATCTTTCCCAAAAATAACTCAAAGGTTTGAGATCTGAACTACTGCGCAAACATGTGACGCGCGAGAATCTCATACGACAAAACTTTTTTCAAATCAATTTTTTTTGAACTGTTTGGTTTGAATGAGTGCTGCTCTCAGCATTGACTACCACGGTACTTCTGTTAATGAATTAAGCAAAATTTATTTGCAAAGCTTTTACAAGTTTGGATGTGTGCTGTGATATAACGATGAGGATTCGAAAACAGCAGTTTCTGCTATTGTATTTATCTTTCTTCTTATAATTAAAATATCATTCACTTGTTTTCTTTCGCAACTTTCGTCACTAGAATAATTTTTGGGAATTTTTGACAGGATTCTTCAAACAAAGGATCACTACTGACAGCTTTGTTAGTGAAGCACTAAGTTCACATAAAATAGAACTGCATTTTTGATTTTTCACTAAACGTGATATTTAAACGAAAATTTCAAAAGCTCTAGAAAGAGAATAGCATTTATGACAATAAAGATTTTAACTTAAGTGATAAAACTTTCCTACTAAGTTTGGCAGAAACTGTCTGTTAGTGTAATTTAAGGCACTAGGTTAATATGTTTTGATAATCAAGCCGTCTGTAGTGAATCGTCTCAACATATTTGAGTTGAAAATCAGCAAGAAAACTGATAATGTAATGTCTAGAGAGTAGACATAACACCACTATCAACACCAGATCATTATGCTCTGCATATCGTTATCACTTCCCCATTATTACAATGAGCAAATGATATCTGATGTCAGAACCTCATAAATGGTCTCGTCAGGATATAGGAGGGAGGAACTTTTCGGTATTACGTTTGGGGAAACGATTGAGAGTATCCACTCATTAGAACGATATACGGTTCTCGGAGCTTCATCTTCCTTTCTTGTATTCCAGAGGCGGCAGTCTATAAGCTGCCTTGGTATCTTTATTTTATTCCTTTTCCTCCTCTGTTGTGTAATTGTGCATATAAGATCTACTCTGTCCTTTTATATTGTATTTCATTTTATTTGAGATTATCTGTCAATAAAGCTTAAAGGAATAATTGTTAACCAGACCCATCAAAGAACTCGCATATAAACATAAAGTGCAGTGATCTATGAAAATTTGAGACTGAGAGTAATACTTGATAAGCGGGAACATCACGACATTTTTTAGTGTCCAGCGTGAGGGCATGGTGAAAATCATTAAAAATTTGGTTGACTAGATTCTCAAATAAGTTGAGAGAGGATTTGAAAGAATGTTATTATGTGTTAAAAAATGAGGGGAAGTTCAGCAACGAGGAGTTTAACCCCAAATTGCAAACATTGAAAGACCAGATTGAAGGAGGGCTGTCTAAGCTAGAAGCAAAGGAACAGAAATATAAAGAATTTATTCAGGAATTACACAGCGAAGAAAAGAAACAAGCAGAAGAGGTTTGCAAGCTGTACGCCACAGAAGAAAACAATTATTTGAGCGTCATCATTGACGCAACAAATACTGTCGTTAGAATAAAGAGAGAGTTTAGAACCGAAGAAAGATCAGTTGAAGAGCAGGATGAAGGGCAGAGATGAAGCTCGCCAAGGAGCATTAAGCTTCCCCAATTCACGTTACCTGCATATGACGGAGACCCTCTTGATTGGGAGGGCTTCTGGAACGCCTTCGAAGCCGTAGTTAATCAACAGAGGTTGTTTCCAGGGCAAAAGTTCAGTTATCTTAGGCGTTGTCTA